TTTTTTTTTTTTTTTTTTTTTGCATAGAAGATAACTTTGCAACTCATGGGTTGTAGAAAGAAGCTGAGATTGACAATGAGATTTAAATCTTGACAGCCTTGGAAGTGACTGAACATTTCTAAACCTTGGTCTTATTTTATGATTTTATTTTAATTATTATTTATTTTATTATCAGCTTGGGGATGGCATTTACCTTTTCGATCCTGAGAAGCTGCTGTGTGGGGAAAGGAATATATTAGTCTCCCCTTATCCATGGGGGATACGATATATTCCAAGACCCCCGATGGATGCTGAAACCATGGATAGTACCAAACTCTATATATACTGTGTTTTTTCCTGTACATACCTAAATACCTATGCTAAAGTAATTTTATACATTAAGCACAGTAAGAAATTAACAACAATAAATAACAACAAACTAGAACACTTACAACAATATACTGTAAAAATGTTATATAAATGTGGTCTGTCTCTCAACATATCTCAATGTACTGTAGTCACCCTTCTTATGATGACCTGAGATGACTCGATGCCTGTGTGATAGGACGAGGTGAAGTGAATGATGAGGCATTGTGACGTAGTGTTACGCAACTGTTGACCTTCTGATGATATGTCAGGAGGATCATAGAGCCATGCCCTATGAATTGGTTATTTCTGGAATTTTCCATTTCATATGTTTGGGCTGTAGTTGACCACGGGTAACTGAAACCACAGAAAGTAAAACCACCTGTATGCCAGTACCAGGCCCAGGAGTGGCTCCTTCTTTCTTTCACTCCTGCAGGAAGCACTGTGCGGGGCCTGCGGGGTCCCGGCACTGCGCAAGGCACGGAGCACACAAAGCCAAGCAGCGCGCGGGCAAACCCCCAGATGTTCATTAAAGGCCTCTTTTCTTCTCAGTTTAGTTTTTTGTTAAGGTAATTCTTGTGGAAAACATATTTTTAAGATACCTAAAAGGCACGTTTCTGATTTGACTAGCTAGGTACTAACCCTACTTTGATTTTTCTAATAAATTTCTTGGAATCCCACCTGCCTCTGAAACTTGGGGACTTGAAGGGGGAGCTTGATTGGCAGCTACCGCTGTGTCAAATGTTAACAGTACAACCCGGTCCCCAAAGTTCCCCCACTCTCGCTATTAGCGTTTTCAGNCAGTGCAACCCGGTCCCCAAAGTTCCCCCACTCTCGCTGTTAGCGTTTTCAGTCTCAGGCCAGTATCATCAGCCTCTGCACAGAGGAAATGTGCTCAGTGAGGAAAGATGACTCATGATCTCCACGTTTCATGGTTCATCTGCGAAATATCACTATCCTTCTTTATTGATTTGTTATCAGTTTGTTTCGGTTTCGATTTCAATGTAGGAAAATCAGGCTGCTTCCTGTGTAAAACTTCTTAGGGGTATTGTGTTGCCTTATAAAATACTTGGGTTGATGTTTTAAAAAAAATTAAAGTTGCATCTATGTGAAAATGCTAAAGGGGAGAATAGTTTGTTTTCAAAACGGTTCTTTGTAACTCTATTTTCAGCTCCGTTGCAAAGTAACGGCGATGAAATGCTTTCTCCTGGAGTTACGTGTTATTTCGCAGGAGTCGAATAACGTGGACATTAGACAGGTGATCGAAAACCTCACCATCCTAGCAAACAGCAGCTTATCTTCTAATATGGTGAGTTGCTCAGTAGTTGTGCAGTTACAGCAGGTGTTTCTAGCTTGACTGGATATAGCGGATATAACGGACCAGCAGACCCTCCCAAGGGAGGGGGAGCTAATTCCGCTGGAGTGGCATCCAGGGTGGCGCCTCGAAACCCTTAGCCGCTCGTTGATGTATTCACTCAACAAACATGTCCTGCATGGTGCCGGGCAGTGTGCTTCGGTGCGAGAGTGACAGTGGTGAACCAGTTGGATCACTAACCTCAAGGTGTTTATCACCACGTGCAGTGGATAGACATTAATCTAATTGCATAATTAAGAGTTTGGCATGAATAATAGTAATCCACATTTATTGGGTTGTTACTCTGTGCCAGACTCCGTTCTTCAAGAGTTAAGTGGTAATTCATTGAGTCCTTACAATAAATCTGTGGGACAGTTTTCCTTGTTTCGAAGTTGAAGAGATCGGAGTATTGAGAGCTTGAATCATTTCCTCCAATTCACGCAGCTAGGAAAATGGGGAGCCAGGATTTAGACCCAAGCAGTTTCACGTCAGAGTCTGTCTTCTTATAAATGCTGCAAAAGGATAATAAAAATATTAATACTTTGAGCATTAAATATTAATAATTTGTACTATCCCAGGCAACATGAACAATATGGGCTTCCAGGAGGACAAATACTGGGAACTCCCACAGTAAGCTGGGAGATCAGCTATGCAAAGGCCCTGAGGTACAACAGATTTTGGCCTTCGTGGCAAAACGCTAGTGGTCAAAGCAGAGTGGATAGAAATAAGTTTTATGAACAAAGAAGACATAATAATAATTCATTAATTTAGGAAATACTTTTGGGGCCCCTTTGTAGGCCCTCGAGAAAACAGAGAGCAAAAATACATATGGTCTCTGCTCTTAAGGAGGGAGGAAGCATAAATAAACCAATCAATAAGCAAATGAGTAAGTCAGTTACTCACTAAGTCCAATGCCAAAAAAAGACAGATAAAGCACTGGCATTCTACTTTAGGGAAGGTTAACCTACTAAGATGACATTTGGAAAAGACGTGAAGGAATGAGCCTTAAGAATACATTGGGGAGTATGTTCAGGTGGAGGCAACTCAAAGTGCAAATACCCTAAGCTACACCTCGGATTTTTCCCTGAGAATTCCAGGCTGCTTTAAGTCTTTGCTTAAATGTCACCTCCTCAGTGATGTCACTTTACAATTGCATTCCCATGTCCACGTTAGCATGCCATGTCCCCTTCTCTGCATGTCCCACTCTCTGACATACTATGTATTTTACTTAATGAATATTTTCTGTTTCCCTACTAGAATGTCAGCTTCAAGGGGGCAGATATTTTGTATTTTTTTCAGTGCTGTATGCCAACTCCCAGAACAATGCCTGGCATATGCTAGTTAGTCAATATATTTATGAAATGAATATATTAATGTTTAAAATACTCTTGTGGTATGTTATCTTTATCCTACTGAAAGAAAAACTGACCCATGCAACACATAATTCATAACAGTATCAGTGGTCAACTCTTTTATGCGATGCTCATAGTCACCCTCATCATGGCATAGTGTGGGACATATAGTGGAAGGAGTGGGCAGGACTGCACAGTCAGAAGACCTGGACGTGGAGAATTTCATTGATTATGTCAACTGAAATGAGTCATTTAATATGTTTGCCTTCCTATCTGACATGATTATTTTCAGTATTAAATAGGACAGCGTTATATGGAATATGACAGTGCCTGGCATAGAAACTGTGCTTGATGAATATTGGTGAATCTGAATTTCAAGTGCTTAATGGATATAGAATCTAATTTTGATTTTTGCTGGTACAGCTTTCATGGTTCAGATGATCTCTAAAAAGTGTATTTATGATTGCTGCATTTGGAATATTCTAGTTATCGTGAAACTGTGTTTGAATTACAACGATTTACGGTATTCACCTAAGTAGTTCAATTCAACCAGTAATGATTGCGTGAATACTATGTGCAAGGCCCTGTGCTGTGCTGGATGCTAGGGAAACAAAAATTCATAGCTTTGCTCTGCCGGAAGAATTTAGAGCCTAGTGTTATAAACAGCATAAAACTCTGTAACATCAATACAATATGCGATGTGCTGTGAGGGAGAATCTAAACCAGGGGTTCTGAGAATGTAGCAATGGTGCATTTGGCCTACTCACGGGAGCTCACCTGTTCAGGAAGGACATCCTAGTGGAGACAACAGCTGAGAATCTTAGGTGTGAGTAGTAGTAGCTGAAATAAGAAGTGTTGAACAGACAGAGAGAAATAGTAAAGGCAATGAGGCGTCTGATATCGTGGCCTGTGCATGGGGATGAAGGCCTGAGCTCAGTGCTCCTAGGGCATAATGTTTGAGGCAGTGGGGAAAGATGCAAGAAATAAGAAAGGAACAGGTCTTGGAGGGCCTGTGTGCCATGCTGGAAGGCATGGACTTCATTCCAGGGTGGATGATTAGGAAGCACTGAAGGCTCTAAGCAGGAAGTCCATAGTGTGATAGACATGGCTTATTTTTTTCAATGTCCTTAATCCATTATAAGAAAAATAAGCTCACATCAGATCTCCCAGTTCTTCCTAATATTATATTAATTTGCCCAAGTTTTCATGTCTCAAGAGCTCCCCATATGATTCAAACGATGTGATAATCCCAGGAAAGAAACATATCAGACTTTCCATTCTAATTCTTTCTTTTTATTTGGCAGAATATAACTGAGTCTGGATGCAAAGAATGTGAACAACTGGAGGAAAAAAGTGTTGAAGAATTTTTGCAAAGTTTTGTACAAATTGTGCAATTGTTCATCCGCATTTCTTGATTGCAGCGATCCTCTTCAGCGTGTCTCTTATTTGTAAACATCTTCCCATTGCTCAGAGGCAACAAAACACTTTGCATTTCCAGTGTGCTGCCAAAACAAGTGTTTCTAGCAAGAAGATGATCAGGGTCTTGGAACAGATGAACTCCTAGAAATGAAGGCAGAAAAATAGCACTGAGTAACGTGGTGTCTATGAACATTTATTTTTAACTTATTATTGAAACTGTACATATTTGTAGCATAATATAAAATGTTGAATAAAATTGCATACATATTTTATCCTTTGAAATTGCACTGATGTTTTACTTCTTGTAAGAACGTAAGGGGCATTTGTTCGAGGGCTATAGTCAAATCATTTAACAGCTGCCAGGGCTGGGACCTCTGCTTCAGGGAGACGTGTGTGCCAATCAGTGTCGGACCACTGACTACCAGCCTTCACTTCCCTCACCAGGTGTGGCACCCAGAGGAAGGACCAACCGACTAACAATGAGAAAGGAGGAACCAGGTGTGAAACCAGGGCTTTCCTTTGTAACTTAGTTATTGACACATAAAGAACTGCTGTGAAAGAAACTGCAACTTTCTGGCATGAAATGTGGCCATAAGACCTTCCCTGACAAGTAGGATTGTATATAGAAAACTAATGATTGCAATGATATTTATATTTCAAGTTCTCCCAAGTACAGGTACTTTATTTTCATTTTTTTGGGCTATATTTGTATAATTAACTGATTTGTTAGAGCCAACATTTTCTGACACAAAATAATTGTATATTGTTTCAATATACTGTCTAAAATTTGCAAGCTCTCTTTTAGTGAACTATGACTAAAATGAAATGTTCTTGTCTCATCACAAATTTCTTTCACCCAGTTCTCTCCTGACTCTTCACTGAGAGACTGTCACTGCAGGTTAGGAGTTGACCTTTTATGAATGTGCTTTCTCTCCATGTGACAANATCACAAATTTCTTTCACCCAGTTCTCTCCTGACTCTTCACTGAGAGACTAGGTTAGGAGTTGACCTTTTATGAATGTGCTTTCTCTCCATGTGACAGTACAAACTGGTTCTCTATTGCGACATTCTTTTATCACCCAGTGCCCCATCCATGCTCATGTATTTCATTTTCCTAATCAATATATGCTTAAAATTTTCTTCAAGATAGTTTTGGAGAAATCTGTATCCAATTTGACTTTCAGGCTCATGTGTTGGCTCTCAGTTTTCTCCCTGATCTCAGTCCAGACAAATAGTATTTGGCAGCCACACTTTAAAGTTGGGATTGGAAGGTGTCAGTTGTTTGTTTGCTTGTGTGTGTGTGTGTGTGTGTGTGTGCGCGCGCGCGCGTGTGTTTAATTTCATCTGAGATGAAATTTTTAAAATGTATCTTTTGTTCACCCCACCCTACCTTTTCTAATGATGAAAAGTAGGGAAAAGGTGCCATTTCAAACTCTAAGTTTCCAATCTGATCCTTAGACAAAAGTTAGCTTCTGTTCAGTGTTTGTTGGGATGGGGGAAGGAAAATCATAATGGCAGTCACATTACCATTAATACTTTATAGTGATCAAATACCCATTCTGGTTATATAAGCAGGCAGGTGGGTTTAAAATTTGGCACTTGTCCCTCCTGAAAATTAGGATTCCTCTCCCATTAGTTACTTAACATGGATCATTTCAGTTAATCTTAAGAAACTCAAGGCATAGATGTGCAACTTCTTAAAATACTCTTCGCTAACTTAAGAACAGAGTAATGATGTAAAACATTACCTTTTATTTTTCATTCCTATATTCTTAACAAAATCAGTCTTTCATTTTTGTTTCAAAGTTTTTTCTTCTTGATCTGTCCTCTGTAATTAACCAGCCCAGTGTCATTTGCCTAGACAAAGATACTCTGTTCATGTCTCACCCACTGCCCTAAATGCTGAAAGTGTTTTCCGTTTGTCATATAATAAAGCACAAATCCATGGGCTTAGAACCTCAAGTAGTAAAGGTAAAGCTAATAAAAATCAGGTTTATGGTCCAAAGTCCTATTGATAAATTAAATTCTTATCTTTTCTTTATTTCAGAGACAGAAAAAACTGTATGAGAAAATATTATTTCTAACTTCTCCCAGAATAACCAAAAGGGACTAGAAGGCAGAGGACATGGAAATGCAAACAGGAACAAGACAGAATTGGTGAGCCCGGAGATTTTTAAAACCCAGTCACAGGTCTAGTTTTATATTCTCACTCTTTCTCTTAGAACAGAGAGTCAATGGAATTATTTTGTTTCGCTGCTGTTGCTGCTGTTGTGAGAGAAGCTTATGTTTTGAAGTGTTACTGTTTATGGCCATCAAATTCAATGACTCATAAGGTAAAACTGACATATACAATATGAAAATCAATTAATACTTTAAAAATCAAGTAATATTCTCCTCCTCCTATGCAGAGAAGTATGAGAAAATGCATTTTTGTTCCTTCATCTGTGTTATAGCAGGCTTGGGTAAGCTTTCTGCATTCGCGTGTGAGTCACGGTTAGCATATGCATGTCATGTATAAATATTTTGCCCAGAAGAAATCCCGTTTCCATAGAGATTTAGTTTCATGCTTTTGAGTGTGCCTGATGACTGAATTTTCGTTTTCACTAAAAATTTATTATGCAAGGTAAACTTTAGCTTCATTGAAAAGTCCCCAGTTGTATAATCTGTCTGATGGGACACAGAAAAAAATTAATGAATCATTAATAGAGAGTCATGATATTTTACGTCTTCGGTCCTGGATTTCAAAATAAGTTTGAGAGGGATTGAAGAGGAAATTGTTACACAGAAGCAGAATTGAAAGTTGTGCATTCAGTTTTTATAAAGCTGTGAATGAGACAGTCATAGTCTCAGCCCTCACTGAGTTTATGTTCTAGCAGGGAAGTCATATTACCAAATTAATCCCTTGAATGCTCTTTCAGTTATTATCAGTTCTATGAAGGGCACCAGGAGAGCATATAAAGGGAGGCATAGACTTGTTCAAGACCTTAAGGAGAGCTTCTTTGAGACAGTGACACCTGGGTTTAACTATACATTTTAATTATTATCTGGGAGAGGGGGAAGTGGGAAGAATCAATTGGAGAAACAGCCTTCCAGAACCTGGATCAGGAAGGATTATGGCATGTTCAAAGAGTGGACATAAGGCCAGACCAGCCAGGCTCAGAGAAAGCACTGAAATAAACTGGTAAGCTAAGTATCATCTGGTCTGATAGGCTCTGGTAAGGATTTTGCTTTGTACTCTAAAAGAAAGAGACTCGTTCTGACATGTATAAAAAATACAGGAGGCATTGTTTCTAGTGTCCATAAAAGAGTTGAAGTCAAAATCTCCTTACCACTGAATCCCAGGATAATAAAATTACTTTTTATAACATCATCTTACTTGGGCCTCATTATTGTAGTCATTGAATGAATTCCTTGTAACACTTAATGAAGATCAACTTCAACAAGTAATTGTTTGTTCACTGTCAACTACAACAAACCCGTTTACCATCCCTATGATGTGAGAGACAAAAGGTCGCGAAATTCAACATGTAAGCCCAGCGTTGGGCTCTGAAGACAATCAGAACTGAGCTATGGTTAGCATCTTAACACAGGGAAGGCTTCTTGAAAGAAGGCCTTTCTAAATCACATTTTAATGAGAACCATGTGATATGATGGAGGCCTGGTCCTTCTCATCCAGAAATATGGGGCAAAGGAAGGCACCAGGATACGTGTAATGATGGCACTGTGCTGACTAGTGGGGGGGCACAGTTCAAACAGGACATGAAAAAAGGCAGGGCAGGTGCAACAGGGTGGAGAGAGAAAGCAGGTACACTTGGTGTAAGCAGGGACTCGTGGGGTCAGGCTGTGGAGAGGCTCAGAAGAGACAAAGGCTGATGTGTTTAAGGAGAGGATAAGAAAGGAGCAATATTTCTGAATAAGTGACAGGAAGAGCCTAAAGGCGAGACTGGGTTGTCGGCACACTGATGGTTCCACTTGATGAGCACGTCCTTTTCAAGGATATTAAAGATCATGAGCATCAGCCAAGTTCAGTTTCCTGAGTTGATTTAATAACGTCAGAGTTCCCCGTGTGGCTCTCTGAGGACACACCAGGCTGATGGAAATAATAACCCTCTCACACTCTTATGGTTCTTTAAAGTTCACAATGCACTTTTATCTGTATTATTATTTTATTTTATAAGAGTCTCTGTCCCTCATGGGTACAGATGAGAAGAGATGCAGAGCCTGTGAAACATTTTGCGTATGTTACTGAAGTGTAAAAAACAAAAGAGAAAGAAATCACCTGAAACTTTTGTCCATGTTCAGCTGGGTATTTATTCTATGCCCTATTGCCTTTTATATTTTATTTCAAATAAGCACGAGCATAATACTTGGGGCGGAAAATTGTTTGTAGTTAAAGAAATCAAAACAGAGTTTAAGCACATATTTTTATTTCATATTTTGGTTATTTTTCTTCACACAATTCTATTCTGGTGTTTTGTTTGCTTTGCCCAGATGGCAAACGCACCATTAAGTTTATCCAGTCTGAATTAATTATCTTTTTATAGGAAAAGAAAATCCTTTCCTTTTGACAAGTAAGATGTTTATGCTGTAATTATGAATAAATAAAAGTAGTTGTTATACACAGCATTATTAATAGCATTGCTTTAAACATCTCTGCAAACAGAAAGTTAACAGGCAGCCACAGTCAGACGTTATCTCTGTGATGCTATTACCTGCTTTTCATTTGAGTGGCATTTTGATGGGTGACATGGGCATTGGAAAAGGGATTTTTCCTTTGGTAAGAGAGAGTAGGTTTGCAAAGCAGAGGAACTCTTTATCCTCACAGAGAGATCTTTTGAACTCTGACCCAGGAAAGGGAAGACAAAGTATAAACTAACCCTTGTCACCACCAAGAGATCATTTCTCTTAGAGACACTTGTTTGGGCTTCAGACTTCCCCTGGTTGAAGGAACTTGGTTTCCCATGAAGTCACACTGTTTTCTCAGCAGAGCTGACTGGTTCCTAAGGATGCACTTCATTCCTTAGTTATCTTTATTTTATTTCCAAAAACAAATATAAAATGTGCCCAAAGGCATGAGTACTCGCAAACAGCGTTGTAGTGAGGGCTGGCTATGGGAGCCCCAAATGTAAGTTTCAAGGGGGTGCATTGTCTATAGAGAATTGAAAAACAATAATAGAATTGTACCCTTGAAATCTATCATTTTATTAATCAATATCACTCCAAAAAATTTAATAAAATTTTAAAATAATTGAAAGTCTGTCTGCTTTTAT